CAGCATTTTCGTTTCATTCTACACCCATGCAAAGAGTGGAACAATATCAGCATTTTTTGACCCCAGCTAATGACTTGCTGACGTTTCCTCTGGGGTAGGTGCCATCCCAACGGGTGACGGCAGGCGCATGAACCAGCCACGATGGCGCAGCAGCACCGCGCAGCGTACTTCGGCCGAAAGATGTCACTCCGGCTTGGAAAGCTGCCTATCGTTTTGCGGCTCTTCTTGATCTGAGTGAAACAGACACACTTCCCCAATGCATCGCAGACGGTACACAGCGTGAGACGGATCACCAACCATCACATTATGCTCAGAACACACCCCGCCTCATTTCCACCCTTTCGCTGAGGAAAATGGCAACCAAGCGGCAAAGAACTCGACGGGGCTGATAGCTAGACTGGTTGCTGAGCAAGTGTGATCTAGCGAGGGGTTTTCACGTCGCACAAGGTGTGTGATGGCTGATCAGAAACGGTTTGTTCGGGCGCGGCTGCAGCGACGATAAACCGTCGGCTGAAAGGGAGTTGCAGACCAACGACGAGCATTTGGCCGCGTTAACCTGAGGGACCTTGCTGGCTTTGTCCTGGCCCCGGTCATCGCTTATAAGTGGCGTCCAGCCAGCAGCAACCGAGATACGACGGCGAGAGTCTAGCCGAGGGCTGTGGTTGGGTGTCCGTGCTAACTGGCTAACTGGCTAACTGGCTAACTCGCTGACTCGCTGACTGACTGACTATTCAAGCACAAGGCGCAAGGTGAGAATGCTGCTCGACAGGATTCAATCACAATCGACTATCGGCAGCATTTTCAGTCCAGTTCAGCTGGTCAAAAAATGTGCCCTGTGCCATTTGCCCAGAGCTGTTCGGGGGGGGCGACCAGGCCAATCATGAGTGCGGAATCACCGACTATCGTACGAAGCCAGCGGACTAGGGGGGATAGCTCCCTTTTCTTTGTTTTCCCTTGTACTGTTTTCCCCCTTCGAGTCTCCACGCCTCGTGTTCGACCAGACAACCACGCTCCGCTCCCCGAGAGAACAATAGAATGGCAAATCAATGGGATTGTTCTTACCATCAAAAACTAACTTTCGGGCATTTCGGGGACTGGGAACCTTATCCGACCCCACGGACGGCGACACCCGATCAGCGGGCATCAACTCTCTCGGGCTTCAGATCCATGGTTCGCTGGATTTGTCCCTGAGGTCTGAAGCGGCGGCGGCTGCTGCTGCTGCTGCTGCATTGGAATGCTGACTCACTGACTGTCTGACTGACCGACCGTGACGTGCAGGGTTCCCCTCCCACTATGGCTGCGAGGCAGGATGACCCATGACGCCGAGCATGTTCGGCGATCTCATTCCTTCAGAGATCGTATAGTGGGCTCGGCCTCGTCTTAAGTAAGACGAAACCATGGGCTGGGCTGGGACCCTATAACGGCTCTTTTCTGCTGTTTAGATCCAGCCTAATCCCTGTTGCTGTTTTCTGGAAATTACACAAGTCTGAGGTTATAGTTTAATTCTCTCTCGTCTTAGTTGGCGTACATCAAGGCCACATACCTGCTTTCGACGACCTGGTGTAGCCCCCACAGCTGAATATGGAGGCCGAATTACCAACCAAGAAAGATGATTTCGATCTCGAGCGGAACGAAGCGCATCAGTTCTTGATGAACAACACTGTTCAAAGCTTCGCCTGGAGTGATCTACGAGTCACAGTCAAGGACCGTCGAACAAAACTCCCTCGACAACTCATCGATGGCATCAGTGGCTCAGTCCAGCAAGGTAGGTTTCTCTACTGCCTTGTGCTTGCTGAAGAAGGCCAACTCATGCATTGTGAGCAGGAGAGCTGGTCGCACTGATGGGACCGTCAGGATGTGGCAAGACGACCCTCCTTAACGTCCTTGCTCGGCGTGTAGCATCCTCGGGCGCAACAAAAACGGGAGAGTGCTATGTTAATGGGTCGGCAATGGATAACACCACCTTTGGACGACTCACGTCCTATGTGGAACAAGAAGATGCCTTGATTGGTTCATTGACTGTCCAGGAGACATTGAAGTTTGCAGCCGATCTCTCTCTTCCAAGGTACTTCTCTAATTGATCTCTGGCCATTTTCGATCGAACCGCTAATACTTCCAGTTCCGTCTCCAAATCGCAACGGGCAGAGCGCATTCGCACTTTGTTGGAGGCCTTCGGTATTCAGAATCAGGCCTCAACGTTGGTTGGCACTCCAATCCGCAAGGGAATCAGCGGTGGGCAAAAACGGCGAGTCAGTGTCGCTAGTCAACTGATCACCTGTCCGAAGATCTTGTTCCTGGATGAGCCTACCAGTGGTCTGGACTCAACTGCCAGCTTTGAAGTCATTTCCTACATCAAGAAACTGGCCGTGGCAAATAATGTATGAATTCTTCAGGGAGGAATGACACAATATGCTAACCTCTGCTAGCTGATTATCATCGCCAGCATTCACCAACCATCATCAACCACTTTCCAACTCTTCGATAAGCTGCTTCTGCTATCAGGCGGACAGACCTGCTTTTTCGGCCCTGTCACTGGTGTGCCGCATTATTTCGACCGACTTGGTCATCCTGTCCCGCTGAACACAAACCCAGCGGAGTTCATTCTCGACCTGATCAGCGCCGACTTTGGCAGTGGTACGCTCGATGCGCCGGAGGATCAAGTGGAGGAGATTTGCGCGGCTTGGCAACACTCTGCGGAGCGTAACGCATTGAGCGAGCAGCTATCACAGGACTTGGGAGGCCACGAGAAGGGCTTCAGCAAGGTGGACATTGCGGAGCTCGGTCATCCAGGGATGTTCAGTGTAATCCTATCCCTCTTGCACCGCGCCTTCATCAAGAGCTACCGTGACATTGTGGCATATGGAATCCGTATTGTTATGTATATGGGTATGTTCCTGCCAGAAAGAGCCAGCCCTTGACCTCACTGACTTTGTTCAGCACTGGCCATAATGGTGGGAACTGTGTGGCTGCGTTTGCACACTGAACAAGCCTATATCCAACCATTCATCAACTCAATAGTAAGCCACCGATTCTACCTGCGCGGACATAGCCAACTTATCGCCTATACTAATGTCTTCAGTTCTTCGGCTCCGCGTTCATGAGTTTCATGGCCGTTGCATACGTTCCTGCCTTCCTGGAAGACCTAGCAACTTTCACCAAGGAGCGTGCGAATGGTCTCTACGGCTCATTTCCATTTCTCGTGTCTAACTTCATTATCGGCCTCCCTTTTCTGTGTACGTTTTCTCGTCCGCAACCGCATGGTCCTTGGTTTGTCGTTGCCTGCTTGAACGCTAATCAAGTCTCCCGTCTAGTCCTCATCTCCCTCCTCTACTCCGTGATCGCCTACTGGCTCAACAACCTCACTCCAACCGCCACGGCGTTCTTCACCTGGATCATGTGGATTTTCCTCGACCTCGTGGCCGCCGAGTCCTTGGTAGTTTTCGTCTCCTCCATCTTCCCCAACTTTGTCATCGCTTTAGCCCTAGTCGCCTTCGCCAACGGGCTCTGGATGGCGGTGGGTGGGTTCCTGGTGACCAACACCATCCTGAATCCATTCTGGAAATATGTCTTCCATTACATCGATTATCAGGTTAGTTCACTTGACTTGATTTGCATTTACCAACCACACTCATCTCCTTGCCCACCTCCCCCCAATCCCCAACTGCACAACCCCACTAACACAACCCCACAAATAAGGCCTACGTCTTCCAAGGCATGATGGTCAACCAATTCTCCGACCGCATCTTCGCCTGCGCCGCCGACTGCACATGCATGTACCAGACCGACCTGGCCGCGCAGTGCCAGATCCGGGGCACGGGCGTGCTGCACGAATACGGCTACGCTACCGGCCGCACCGGCAAATGGGTCGGGATCCTGCTGGGGATCATCGCCGTGTATCGATTATTCGGGTATCTGGCTCTTGTGTTTCTGAGACGGTAGGCTTTTGCAGGATGGGTGTGTGCATGCGGTAAATACTTCGACACCTTGGGGGGGGGGGGGGGGGGGGTGTTTCTCTGGGTATGTGGTTTGTAAATGCCTTTCTTGGGTCGTGAAATGGGATTTCTCGGGTGGTTTATGTGATGGTTAGGAATGTTCAGGGTGTTTTATGTCATTGTATTTGTTGCGGTTGTTTGCGCTGTTGGGGCTGAGGCTGAGGCTGAGGTTTTATGCTGTACTGGCGTTTTTGTTGACTCTCTGGATGGTCCTGGAGGAAGGGAGGTAGGTAGGTAGGTAGGCGGGGGCTGTATATCAGATAGAATGAATTTGATCTTCGGACTTTTTGAGGTTTTGGCTTTCGTAGTGTAGTTCTGTCACATGAGTCCTCGAATTATTGCACATGCTCGGTTCACTAAGATTCTTGGGAGGATGTTCTCGAAGATTGAAATTACGGCGTGGATAGGCTAGACGAGTGTGGTGGTGATTCTTCTATTCTAGATCTCATAGTCTAACTTACTCCTTGTTAGTATGCTTGACATAGGACAATCCAGCGAGATTGGATGGGCGATGGGACAGACTACCTAGTACTCATCGGGACAGATAGAGCAAAAAAAAAAAAAAGAAGTCAATACCTATCGCTGAATTACCATGTACGAGAAAAGAAATATTAAGAGAAAAAAATCGCCATCCTATCCATAGTGAAACTCCTGCTTCGGGCACAGAAAACCTTTCATAACGTATTCGTTCATATCGTGTTGAGTTCTGCATTGCATTGTATTGCCTTGTGTGGTATCCATTCATCCCATGTCCCATCAATCATAATCCCGTGTGAACAATTCGCAGTTCAATTTGAACGCATAGAAAAAAACGGCAAAGCCCGAAGAAGTAACGCGCATGAACAGAAAGCATAACCTGGGCCAAGGCCATTTATTTACAAGCAAGCCCCCCTTGTTCCCTCCATTGGCGTCGTCCTTGATGAAGATGTTTCGGCGTGAGGGAGGAGAAAGCGAGAGAGACAGGAAGTGTGCTGCAACCTAACGTCTCGAGTACCGAGTCTCCTCGCCATCACTCTCGCTCAGACTGTCGCGACGACGGCCCCGACCCCCTTCCCGGCGGTAGCCTTTGCTCAACCCGGGAATCGGATGGTGGTAGCTCTTGGTGCCCGAGTCCTCGGTGTCGACGTTGGAGTACTGATACTCGGAGCGTGAGGCCGCGGAGGAGAAATCCAGCGGCTCGGTGTAGTGGCCCGTCACCGACGGACGCTTGCGGGGACTACTCTGCCGGGACGAGCGGGACGGGCTACTGGTACTGCCAGCACCGCCACCACCACTGTCCGTCGGGGCGTGTCTCCTGCGCTCGCGTCGTCGATTATGTCTTCTGGTCGATGGCTCGCGGATCGTGCGATGGTGATGATGATCGTCCGCCTGGCTCAGCAACTCCTCACTACCGGCCACAAATGAAAAGTCTCGCCGCTTGCTCTGCCGTCGCTCGACCACGGGATCGTACGCGTAATCCCGCACCTGGCTGACCTCGCTCTGCTCGCGGTCCTGCCAGTAACTCGGCGGGTTGGACAGATCGTAGTCACTGCCGTCGTAGTAGGTGGTCCCGTCGCCCTCGCGGTTCATGCCGCCGACGCGCGCGGGCTTCTCCTTGCGGTACGCGGCGACGTCCTCGTCGACCTCGTTCTCCCAGTTGGCGGTCATCTCGTCGTCCTTGCGGCGGCGCCGGAACTTCTCGCGCAGCCTGCGCCGCCGCTTGCGCTCGGCGCTGCCGCCGGGGGCGCCCGTCTTCTCGGTGATGGTGGTCGCGGTCTCCGTGTACGTGTACCCGTCGTCGCTGTAGCCCTTGTGCACGATGCTGCCGCCGCCGAGCTTGGTGCTCTTGGTCGCGTTGCTGAGCGTGCGCCCGTCCGGCCCCTTGCGGCGCAGCACGGTCGACTTGTACTCCTCCCAGTCGCCCTTGCGCCACACGAACCCGCCGTTCTTGGCCCAGAAGAAGAACCAGATCGCCGCCAGCACGAAGGCCGCGCCGATGATCGCGAAGAGCGCCATCAGGCCCTTCATGTTGATCTTGTGCGCCTCGACGGTGCCGCTGCCGGGGACATATTTGGAGTCGCGGGCGTGGAGGAGGTGGCTGTGCGGGGCATTGCTGCTGGTGCTGGTGCTGTCTTGAAGACTGGGGTGGGAGTACGGTGAAGCGGCGAGTTCGGGGGGGTGGGTGGCTGTGGTGAGGGTTTCGAGGATGGAAATGCCGGGAAAGTCACCGGCGGTTTGGACGGGAGGCATGATGAGGAAAGTGGCAGTGAATGTCAAGAGCGTGGTGCTCGAGACGGGCACTCTGTAGCTTGGTTAGGTGGATGTTTCTCTAGATAGATTGATGGATGGTGGATGGATGGATGGATGGAGAGTAGATGATTGATAGATTGACTGATTGATCTTTGATGGATAGAGATGGTTGGATTGACTTGAGCTGGAATGCGGGATGTCTTACCCACTGAAAGTGACACTTTGGGTATCCTGGTGGGCTCGATCTCAATCACCCGATCCACTTGTGAGATGTATATGGTATGCTCGGGTACCAGAATCTAGATAGTAGACCGATAGTTGGAATGCAGTGTGCAAGGTGGATGTGAGCACAAATGCTAGCTTGGTATGCACTACCAACTGTGTTAGCACTGGCTTGCTCACAGTAGCTTAGAGGATGAAGGCAGAGCAAGAAACAACGCAACGCAAGCGGCAGAACAAGCGACGCCCAGACGAAAATTGAGGTGGTTGGGGAGAGGCTGGGGATGACGCTCTTTTGTTTGGGCGGTTCCCTCGTGGCCCCGGCAACTGGCATGACTCAGCAGCCTCCCCTCGTTAATTACTAGGTAGTTATCTTATCGGCCTTTGGTGCCTGAGGCTCCACTACTGTACTATGCACATAAGTTACCATACTTCTATGCAAACTGGAAGTTACAACAACTACTCGTGAAATCCAGAGCAGGCATTGGACGTTAAACTTCCACTATATCAGCAACTCAGCAGTAACCCATCTCTTGAGACTCATACTTTATGCTAAGTCTATCTTTCTCGGCAGAATTGGGCATATGTAGTGGAGTTGGATGAGAACAGGGGATCCTGGGTATTATTCCTACGGTGTATCACCAACACGAACAAGGACGGCTTCGAGCAAATGGTTGATGGTCAAAGCAGTAAGCAAAAGCTGCTGCCTTTGATCCGGCGGCTAGCACTATGCAGGAAGGTAATCACGAGCATTGGGCATCAATAGATGCTTTGGGGGGGGGGGCAAGCTTGCAAGCGCCGAAACGGCATGGAGAGAGGTAATCTCACCCACGAGATCCAACGATCAAGAATCATACACAGCCAAATTACAGGGGCAAGAATTGACTGAGTCGAATACCAGATGCAGACGGAACGCCCCGCTAATGCACTGTGTCCCCTTCAGGATCATTGTCATTGACAGTTTGGCAGCACGCATAAATGACGCAGAGAGAGCGATAGAGTTTCGTCAATCAGCCTCCACTGGACGAAATTCACCCGGACTATCTGGCCCTTTATCTGAGCCAGCGTTTCGGACGTCAATTTTTCCGTGTGTGGGCGCAATGCACACCGGTAGATGTATTCATGGTTCAGGAAGGGTTACCACAGTCTGGACAGCTTAATCTTCATCCTTGCCAGATGTATGGAGACACGACCCAACATCAGTCGCTGTGGTGTGAGTCACAGGGTCCAGGGTATACCAGACTCTAGGTCATGTGATTAATGGAAGAATAATGCCCGAGAAAGCTTTTTGTGAAGCAATTGGAACGCAGAGTATTCATTCATCGGAGTACAAGCCTTCTAGGAGACTTGGATTAATGATGGGTGAACCCGGATAAGTCAAGGTTTGTTGTTGGACGGAGACACTTCTCGGGTTCTCAATAAGTTAGTGCAGTATGAATAACGAAGCAAACATCACAATAAACATTGATTCCGCCTGGCACTTCCGGCCTGGAGAATCGGAGAGTAAGTGAATGGCTCACTTACCGGGATCATTGCTTTCTAGCGCGCTTCGACACAGTCTTCCATGCTGCTCGCTCGCGGGCCTCCCCACCAGGATAGCAAACTTATCAGCCCATCAGGAGAACACCGCAAGCGGGGGGTGAGGACAGATCATGGAGGACTGAAAAGGGAGTGAAAGCAATTCTTTGTGTCATGACGATGACATGAGCGAAGTAAATCTGCCTGTTGAGTCGGTGGAATATACCGGTTTTCTCTATCCTTTTTTTCTGGGCTAGATCAGGTCGGCTGAAGAATGCCTGCCCATGAGCTCGAATAAACTCAATAATGAACTTTGTAACCTAGATCCTTGATGCTGAGAGGCTTTTTGCCTCCACTTTCTTTCCTTTTGTCCAAACTGACCTTCGTCTCCGGAATGAGAAAATTTCACCAACGAGGTGTGCCCCGCGGGGTGGAGGCCACCGTCATTGGGCCGCAATGGGAAAGTTCCTGGTCATCGTTCGGGACTTTCGGGCAGCCAACAGGACGGGATTTTCTCGGAGGGGCCAGGTAGGTACGAACAGTATGAGATTGAAGACCTGTGACGGGCGACAAGAGTCATCCAGAGAGGGTCACGAGGAGATTGAGTAAAGATTGATGAAAATGATGGTGGAAGAGAAGTGTAAAGTTACCTAGAGTAGAGTAGTATAGATGTTGGGAGAAACTCCGGGTGGTCCGTGGATGGAATGGATGGAATCCGCTCAGACCCAGGGGTTCTTCCCGTCGAGATGGAGCCGGGTGGGGATCCTCGCAAACCAGCAAACCATCGCTTCTTATTTCCACCCTCCCCATTCTCCCATCCTTCCACCGCCGCCCTAGCCACGCCCTCCACCGCGATTACGGATCGATGGTACCGTACTCAGGTTCAACCTTACCTTTACTCTTAGATTCTGAGATATCTCAATCTCATCTGTCCGCCTAAGACACTAGTGGTTGGGTGACTTCAGCCACCGGACCGACTGAGACAGAACACCGGAACGATTGACGATCTTACTTCTTCGTTGCCTGCGAAACATGTCCGGGTCACGAGGCACTGTTGTTCATTCCCACGATCATGAGGTTACACCAAGGCGACATGGCAATAAGAACTGGCCGTTACTTTAGCGTGAGAGGCATAGCGGTATAGCGTACTCTCGTGGTATCATGCATAGCCACTATCTTTCAGGAGCCTGTCAGCGCGTGCTGCAAGCAATCTATTTGGTGGTGAGCTGCTATACATAAAGATCTCGAATTGATTTGCACTCAAGAGATATTCTTTGCTTCAACGCTACGATATGCCGATCCGCACGTGTGATGTGCTCTCCATTGAGGAGAACGATTGACACATCCGGTGATGAGCATTTCTGCAATGACTCTAAAGCGAAAATGAGGTTATCGCGAATCTGCAAGGGATGGAATGATCTGATGAGATTCTCAGGATGGTTGAGGCTCCCCCAAACAAGCCCATTGATGTCACTGATCCATGTGTGGTGTGCCGTGCGTGGGGAGCCGTGCCCCAGGATAAAATGCCACGCACTGAGGGTCTGAAACCGCACGGACAAGCGCCTGGGGTATCGCGGATATCTAGTGTTGATTACCAGCCGTTCCATGGAAAGCATGGATGCAGTATACTCCGGTTATCAAAGTCACCCCTGAAGCTCATTGCGACCGATCTAATGACCCTTCATCATCGTGCCGCAACTCGCCTGTGATGGGTATCCTGATACGCCAATGGAGGAATTCCGATTTCACCTTGCAGCTGCAGGCCTCTTGTTCCCTGTCGGTCGGAAGTCGCAGTGCGGAATATACCATGATCGCATCATGACTATGAAATTAAATTCCATTCTACCATGCCCGTGACGTATGCAAGACAGAAGACATATCGCGGATAGAGATGACGGCTTTTTCCTCAACATGCTCGACGACCTGTCAATGAGGAATCTGCGATTGATGGTTATGAAGGATACAATAGCTCATTGAGTCATGCTGATCGAGTCATCTCGACCAGGATGATCGAGGTGACCGGAGTAGGGTTTTTCTCCTTTCTCGTCCTCGTCTGCTGTAGTTATCTCCCATCAGTCTGTCAGTCACCAGTAACCAAATGCATAATTAAAAAAATGTTAGCGGCCGATCAGGCAGCGGCCAGCAGCCACTCAAGGGAGAACCCCCACCTCCTCCTCTTGTTTTCCTCTTCGATTTGCTCTGTCTCGATACCTTTCCATCCGGATTGGAGAGGACCATCCAGGAGATGAGAGGCAAGTTTGATGGGGGGCCAAAAGGCAGTGGTTGCGTGGGTACATGGGAAGATCTGAGTAAGTACTGTACTATCCTCATCTGCCGCATATACTTTGTAGTTTCAAGAGGCCGCGGGTGAAAAAATAGCCTCTGGACAGGGATGTGTTCGGATGTGAGATGGAACCACTTTCCGTTTCTTTATCTTGATCGAATTTATATTCCGTCCTCGCTCGGGTTGCGATGATTGATTCCTTCCGGGTTCAACTCTTGCTCGTGCTGACTTTGGGGTTGGAATCGTCGGTATGCTCATTATAAATCCACAAGACGACGGGTGAGATAGTCACTGGAAGAAGCAATTCACAGTAGATCGAAAGAAAAAGAAAAGAAAAAGAAAAACATAAATAAAATAAATAAAATAAAAGAAGTAATAGATGCAAACACATAGAGCGGCAGCGGGCTCAGCCGTGTGTGTCCATACTGTGTGTAATCATTCAGGTATACATTCAGTCGGTACCAGGGCTTTTCCCTCAATCTTTTCATTTTTTCCTTTTTTTTCCCCCTCCCCCATTTTCTTTTATATGGTAATTGTAGATGTAAAATCATGTAAGAGAAAAAAGAAAAAGGCAAGGAAAAGAACTGACTCAACCTACTCTTCATCTCCAGTACACTGATGAATGAATGCAATTAAAAACCAAGGCGACGCACAGCACAGTTTTCCAACCCATCCAATCCTCCGTACCTTACCTCCAACTACGTTACCTACTCTACCTATTTCCATACCTCTTTCCTCCCTCCCGATCCTCTCTTGCTGCTACTGCTACCAACTAACTCAACCAGTGGCAGTTCATCAAGTCAGTCAATCAGTCCCGGATCTCCTATCGCAATCCCTCCTTCTCTCAGCTTCTCCCCCTCCTCCTCATTGTTTTCCCGTCTCCTGCTTTCCCCTCTTTGATTTTCCTAACTTCTACTTCAGTACTACGATAATCTCTTATCGTCTGGTGTGGAAGATTCCCACCTGTTCTTCCCTTACTCCACTTAGTCTTTTGTTTTCTCTCTCTCTCACCACCTTTTTTTTTCCCTGCGCATTCCTGCTTTTGCTCCTAGTCTACCTAGTACTTACTCGCTTCCCCTCCTTCTGTCATCCCTCACCCCCCCACCCCCCCCCCCCCCCCCCCCCCCCCCCCCTCGGACCTTCAAACCTAGAGAGTCAAATTCTACTGGAAAGTCCCTTTGACTCTCTGCATCTTCTTTCCCCCCTTTCTTCCCTCTGCTTTTTCCCATCGCCTTGGTGACTGTCATCAATCATCGCGTCCCAAGGCCGACGACCACGAGTGCTTAGCCAGACGCACCAGTCATCAAAGCCGTCGGTTACACGCTTCTGCTGGGTGCATTGAAGGACTGCAGCCCCGTCGGTTGTTTGGTTAATCGATCATTCTATTCTAACTCCCCTCCACTCACCGGCTGCCAACCGTTCACTGCAGCTTTCTTTTCCGGTTGACCCACGCTGGGCTTGTCCACTACGGGTTATCTATTGAGTCTAGTCTCACTCTTACTGACTGTCCGCCGCCCGACTCGTCGTCTCTTCATCACCAGTCCTCCACCACCACTTTCCACAGTCCACTTCGTCGCCTGCCCCCCCCCCTTCCACCCCGAACCAACCCCGTTCTTCCTTTCCTCTTTTCGATGGAGACATTGCAGACTGTGGACGACGACTATTCTTTGTGCCCACCAACGACTCATCGTTGACACTCAACGATCTAGACGCTCTGTCTTTCGGACTATTGTCTGGCCCGTCTGCATCTCCCGGTTGTTTTCTTGAGGCGACTGCCGCCAAGTGGATTTGCAGCCCTCACTTCGAACTAAGAGGGAAGAGGGAGAAACAAATCACTAACCGCGCCTAAAGAAAAAAAAATCAGAGGGCCAGAAAAAAACGCTAAAAAAAAATCTCCCAGGCACTGATTGAGTCATATTCGGATGAGCAGCAGTTGGTGGCTGCTGTAGGCCACCAAGCAAGCATCTGAAAGCCTGTTGGAGCACCACGTTTCAGGTCATCCACCTTCGTGCCTTTCCCACCCCCCCCCCCCCCCAAATCAAGCCAGACCCCTCTTCCCTTTTCCCCTCTTAGGGTTGGGCCTTAGGCCGCCTTCCAGAAGTCATGTCTAGCAAAGTCCCCCACGCCGCCTTCTGTGAGGAATATGACGAAGACACCCATGTTATCCGCCCCGAAACCCGTCAAGTCGCTAACCTCACTACCAAGCGCCATAAACAGGCCGTGAGATCGCCTGCGGAGCCCCTGGTCGACGTTGCAAGTGACTCCGGGTATTCCAGTCGTACCGCCGCCACCGTCAACAGCACCCAATCTGGGCCGTCGGGCCGGAAGAGTCCTGTCCCTCATAAGCCAGACACCACCCTCAAACGAGTTGACCTCGAACGCGTCCGATCCAAAGGCCACAAAGAACGTCCTTCCAAGGACAGAATTGCTCGTCCACCACGTGAGGACAAAATGCAGGTCGGGAGTTTTCCCACTGTGGGCCACCCGCACCCTCATGCCCATGATCAGCGTTCCCCGTCCAGGTCCCGCCGACGTGATACTGCTCAGTTCAGGCATTATCCGGGGCAGTGTTATGATTGCGATCAGGGGCTGTACCATTCTGCCTCCACACCTCTAGAAGCGAGACCGATGGATTATTCGTATTTCATGCCGCCGCCGCCTCCTCCAGGTCATGAATATCCCCCTCCGGCACCGCAAAACTCTCGATACCCTCCTTCTGTGATTCAGGACGTCAACGTCACCCGCAGTAGCCGTCCTCATGCTCGCGGAAGCTCGTCCGTTTATCATCCCAACAACCGGCCGGCGAGCTTTCATGGTACCATGCCTGGAATGAACCAGATGATGTACCCTCCGGGTTCCATGGGTCGCTACGACCACGGTCCACCGCTGTCTTCTTCGGCGTATGCCAACGCTCCGCCGTATGCCGCCTCTCATTACCCGCAGCAGTCTCCCTATTACGGCGTGTCCGATTATGCAGCCCCTCCTGATAGCCGACAAGAACGATCGGCTTCGAGGTCTCGAGACCACGGTCGGGGCCGCCGATCGTCGGCTTACGCGCCTGCTATGGACTACGATGAAGCAAGCTTTGATGAAGATGAAGATGATGACGACGTGGTGGACATTCCTCCTCCGCCTCCTCCTGCTCCAGGCCGACAGACACGGCCTCGGATGTCCGCTCATTCCTCTCATGATCGCGACGAAGATTACTACCGCATGCCGCCTCCACCCACGAAGCACAAGGCGGCTCCGCACATCATCCAGAAACGGCCCGACCCGCCTCGCAAGTCCGTGACTGCTCCATTGATTCCTTCCGACCGTCGCTCCTCTCGATCTCTAGACCTATCGGAATTGGGCGACGCCTTGCCTGAATACGGGTATCGGCAGTCTTCTCGCGAGACCATGATACCCGAACGCAGCCGAAGTAACCGCGACAGCCGTCGCTCTAACGCTTACCACGAGTCTGCGCGACCGGCACGAATTGCTGTCGAGAATTCTCGTCGGCGCCGGCCCGCAGTATACAACTACGGCGATGATGATGACGAAGACGAGGATGATGAAATCGTCGAGAAGCAACGAGAGGCGGAGGAGTACCAAGCCTCCCGGTCGGGCAAGCCATCGGCGCCTGTTCCCCTGACCGAAGACGCTTTGTACAAGGCCAAGACTTCTCAACGCGCTGAAAGTGACAGCGGCAGCCAGAAGAGTCGCTCGAACAGCAGCCGTGGCAGTGACGCCCGGACTCAAACTGGAAGCAACAGCGGTCTCAAACCGGAGGAGGACAACAATATTATCATGACGATGAACGGTGTGACTATGAGCTTTAGCCAAGGATCCGTTGGGGGCAAGAGGCTAATGCTTCGGACCGGGGACAATGGTGCAGTGGAGCTGAACATCGAAGGCAAGCACCGACCGAAGAAATACCTCACTGGAGGCTCTGACTACACCGGAAGTGTTTCTCGAAGAGCATTGGAAGACCCGCGCCGAGCCATGAGTGACCGGAAATCGGACCGGGCTAGTCGACGCTCGAGTCGGTCCACCTACAGCGGTCAATACTAGATAAGAGGCTTGAATTGAAGTCTCATGATGCGATCCATGCTGGTTATACAATCTCCGGTTTATGCGTTACTTTTGCGATCTTACAAAAGTTATGGTTTAGATCTCTGTCTTTGACAACGCACATCGGTTTTTCAAAAAGTTCTTTTTTTTTTTTTGTGGTGGGCTGAACAATTGGCAATGAGCCTTTGGTTCTGCTCGGATGGTATTGAAGGGATCACCACAAACAAAGGAAAAAATGTATGGATGTCTGATATCGACATTGGGCGGTGATGCTTTTGGTTCTCTTTGGTTTGGTTTGGTTTGGCCTCGGTGTTCAAAAAGAGGAGGGGCGGGTTTGACGGCTCTGACCGATCACGTCCATCATGGCGACATGATTGTATGATTCTTGACGACCTGCACGATTTTCGATGTCTTATGTTTATGTTCATGCCTGGCTCAGCTCTAGCTGATGCGATACTCTTCGCTCATGTCTATGCCTATGCTCATGCTTATGTTTCATGTCTCATGCCTGATGCTCGTCTTTCTAATGTGGTGATGCGCGTCAGGGGCGTTTGTGTAAAATTCTTCTTCGGACTCGTTTCTATTTTGTGGCATTTTGTTAGGGCAGCGTGGAAGGAACGAGTACGAATGAGAGCAGAGGAGAGGAGCGAGGTATATACCCCGGCGATTGCTGCTTTACTTTGGACGATTTCAACTTGATGCATCAGCTATGTTGTTTCCTATCTTCTTCCTATATATCCCCGCGTCATGTTTTACATATTCCCCTTCAGTTATTACTGCGTAGCGTTCAACACTGATCATGTACCTTGTTCTATCTATTGATTTTTGAAACTTGTCTTGCCAGTCATTGTTGAGTTGTGGGTTAAGACGAACTACGGCCTGGATATCCTTGATCTTTGATAAAATACCCTGATCATATTTCAACATCACGCGTGTTCGCTACATGGAGCTCAATACTCGACCGAATGTCTCTATAATGACTTTGTACCTTTGAGGGAGGCGCTCTATTCATAAGAAATGATTTACTCGAAGAAAGTCTGTGCATACCTCTTTCCATTTGTTTCCTTGCTTTGGGTTTGAGACCTCGTCACTATCGCGCCTGCCCATCTTGTCGTCAATGCGGGACACAGAACTACCTACTAGCTTTCAGATTGCTCATCGAGGATGCCTACTTTACACGATGTGTATGCCTATCTTGCTGAATTCTTACATTCCCCCGGCCCAACTCACAGTCTGACTATCGCTGGCCTGATCCAGACTTCATTTTCTGTGCCACTGCCTTCTCTCGTTGCACAGCGCATCCACAAAGAAAAAGATGGAGCCTAGCAAGGTCGAGGCGATCAGCTCTTTCTTCAGTGACGCCCTCGGCTCCCCCCGAACGATGCGTAGTGGTGCGCCCACGCCGCCGCCGCCGTCCTCCTCCGTGCCCCTCCCGGTACCCTCATGGGACGAACCGGAGGTCCTCCTATACGCATCGCACATCCCGACCACCCACGAAATGGACATCGACAGCCGTCCACCTGAGCCCGACGTGACCCCGCATCGCGGATGCCAGCAGCCAGTAGCAGCAGCAGCCATCAGTCCCAGCGATCCCGCCGGACCGATCGACAAACGGACGTTCTCAACCTTGGCTACTGCTGCTGGTAGTAGTCGCAGCAACAGCGGTAGCGGCGGCGTCAGAAGCAGCAGCATGCGGCAGGAAGTCCGGCTGAGCTGCGCGCAGGTCGAGCAGATCCATGCCACCAAGGATGTGTTGATGGCGCAGGAGACTGAGATCGCGGGCCTGCGGACCACCCTCCGAGAGATCCACGCTGAAATGCGACGGGAGCGGCTCGAGGCAGAGAGGAAGGTGAGGGAGCACATGATCTCGGGGTGGATGACGACTGATGTTGGTGCGGATGGCGATGCCCGGGTTGCTTATGATAATCATCGTGATGATGCTTGGACGCCGGCATTAATGGAGGTGGATTTGCTCCTTGCAGAGCTGGAGGCGGAGTACGGACGTGTCGATGGGGCGTTGACGGAGCGGGAGAACCAGCTGGTTCAGTCGACGGAGGACTTTGCGGGCCTGCTGGATCAGCTGCGCGGGTCATTTCCCAAAGGCATTTTCACGGAGGAGAACTGTGAGAGGGCCGCTTTGGGGAATGTCGGAGCTGAGGAGCTTCTGGGTCGCAACGAGTATGCTTTGAAGGCGTTCTCCCAGTCTGCGGCCGCACAGAGGCTGCGAGAGCTGCGGGGTCAGTTGGTCGAACTTGACGGGCAATTGGTCTCGATCGTGAAGCTCCAAAATATTGAAAATCCCTTGGTCTCAGACAAAGGGCTTGACAGCGATGCAATGGACTTTCTGCGAACCTATGATGAAAAACGGATGAATCTGTTTCATGAGTACTGGGCCAGACTGTCGGATATTGAGACCCTCACGGAAGGGCATGGCGATACGCTGCAGCTGTCCTCTCATGAGCTCAAACAGAGCAGCATCTTCGAGCCGGTGCTGATACCGAGCTCGCCGTCGAAAGTCTTCGTCAACCAGTGGCTTCTGTTCCAGCTGAGGACGTCGTCCTTGGAAGAGGCGCGCATCCGCTCGCTCCCGGAGTGGGAGACACTGCGTGGCCAAGGGTGGACCAACGCCGGCATCAGCCGCCTGGCGCTCACGCTCTGGTTCTCGGATGATACCGTCCTGCCGTACAGAGATTCCAAGACCCCGAGTCAGTCCTTCAACTTGAGCGAGATCCCCAGCATTGACTTCGAGGTCAGTCCGAGGAAGAGACGAGCCAGATCCGCCAGCTTGCAGGGCCCGGAAACTCAACGGGAATTTACGCAGTCTCCAGTCAAGTTTGGTCGTTACGATACCACTTAGAATAAGATTCCCTCCTTTCAGGTTATTGTTTTTCCTCGGTGCAGACTGAGTTTGGATTCGTATCCCTTATTCGCTGTGGGCGGGACGACTTTGGATCCTTGCATGCGGAATTCTTTTGTAGCGTTTGTATGATATCGATGCTTTGGCCTGATCCGCTTGCAGTCTCGTTACTTTGTTTATTGGTTTAGACGATAGCTTGGGAATCGAGACGATGTCTTCATAGTTTGCCTGTTGGTCGTTGATAACGGTGATTGTCGCTGTCGCTGTCAAGGTGGAGCAGCATGGTGGACAGTCTGTGTCGAATCCAATCCATTATTCAATGTGACTATTTGGTATCCAGCACAGGTAGTATTGAGCTCGGCTTGAGCCGTGTTGACCATATTCACGCTGTTATTAGTGTATAGATGGAGAGGGCTGATATGATAAGAGTGGATCGAAGGCAAGTGGAGACCCGCTAAAAATACTGCCTCGGAAAATCTCACCGCCCGACAGAATTTCCCAGCCCGCCGCCCTCCACGAAAACTCTCCCCCCCAGTTCATATCGTCGCTTTCCTCAAAACACTCCCCCTTTCGAGAAGATACGCACGATCTTTTGTCTTTCCAGTGCTGTCTGTCACAATGAAACGCAAGTTGGACGCCAACGACGTGCCCTCCCCGGAGGGCGCCGAGACCATCGCCGAGACCCAGACCCAGACCCCCGAGGTCAAAGACGCCGACTTCGAAACCCTCAATCTGGATCCGCGATTGCGCCAAGCCCTGATCAAAGAGAAGTTCACCAAGCCGACGCTGGTCCAGGCCAAGGCTATCCCTCTGGCGCTTGCCGGAAAAGACATTCTTGGTGAGTTTTACTTCAATTTCTCATTATCGTATTCAATCAAGCTGACCATGAACCAGCCCGGGCAAAGACCGGCTCCGGCAAGACCGCTGCCTACGTCCTCCCTATCCTCCAGACTATCCTTCAGAAGAAAGCTGTGAGTTTCATTTTCCGGTCCTTCCCAGCCTGTAGACTTGAAACTGATGGCCGGAATTACCTGAATGTTTAGGCCGACCCCTCCCTGAAAGCGACGACAGGGCTGATCCTCGTGCCCACGCGCGAGCTGGCGGAGCAAGTGCAGAATGTGGTGACGACGTTCGCCGCCTTCTGCGGTAAGGAGATCCGGTCGGTGAACCTGACGCAGAAGGTGTCGGACGCGGTGCAGCGCACGCTGCTGGCCGACTACCCGGACCTGGTGGTGTCGACGCCGGCGCGCGTGATTGCCAACCTCGGCAACTCGGCGTTGTCGCTGGAGCACCTGGCGCACCTGGTGATCGACGAGGCGGACCTGGTGCTGTCGTACGGGTACGACGAGGACATCAACGTACTGGCCAAGGCGATCCCGCGCGGGGTGCAGACCTTCCTCATGAGTGCGACGCTGACCTCGGAAGTGGACACGCTCAAGGGTCTGTTCTGTCGGAATCCGGTGGTATTGAAGCTGGAGGATAAGGAAGAGCAGGGGGCGGGCGTTAGCCAGTTTGTTGTCAGGTTAGTTTGTTTTTGTGAAGGGGGGAGGATACACCGTTTGCTAATGTTCATGTCGGTCTAGATGCGCCGAGGACGAGAAGTTCCTCCTCACCTACGTCATCTTCAAGCTGCAGCTGATCAAGGGCAAGGTGATTATCTTTGTCGGGGATGTCGACCGCTGCTACCGCGTCAAGCTGTTCCTCGAACAATTCGGCATCAAGAGCTGTGTCCTCAACTCCGAGCTGCCCGTCAACTCGCGGATCCACGTCGTCCAGGAATTCAACAAGGGCGTTTACGACATCATCATCGCGGCTGACGACCAGGAGGTTCTCGGCGCGAAGAAATCCAAGAAGACGAAAGACACGACCGCCGACGCGGTCGAAGAAGACGAGGAAGGACTCGTCGGCTCCAGCGACGACGAAGAGGACGTCGAAGACACCACCACCACCACCAAAAAAACCAAGAAACCCACCACCCCCGAAACCAACAGCAAACGCCGCAAACTTTCCACCAAGGACAAGGACTACGGCATCTCGCGCGGCATCGACTTCCAGAACGTGGCGTGCGTCCTCAACTTCGACCTCCCCACGACCGCCAAGTCTTACACGCACCGCATCGGCCGCACCGGCCGCGCCGGCAAGACAGGGATGGCGCTCTCCTTCGTCGTGCCCGCCGACCAGTACGGCCGCCACAAGCCGACCTCCTTCCCGACGGCCAAGCACGACGAGACGGTCGTCGCGCGCATCGTCAAGCGCCAGGCCAAGCTCGGCCACGAGGTCAAACCCTACCACTTCGAGATGGCCCAGGTCGACGCCTTCCGGTACCGCATGACCGACGCCCTGCGCGCCATCACCCGCCTCGCTGTCCAGGAGGCCCGCGCCCGCGAGATCCGCCAGGAGCTGATCAAGTCCGACAAGCTCAAGCGCCACTTCGAGGAGAACCCGGACGAGCTGCGCCAGCTCCGCCACGACGGCGAGCTCCGCGCCGCCCGCATCCAGCCCCATCTGAAGCATATCCCCGAGTATCTGATGCCCGCCAAGGGACGGAAGGGCATCTCGTCCGAGACGGTCGGGTATGTGGGCTTCCGGAAGGTCGGCGGCGAGAACCGCATCCGCAAGGCCCGCGAGAAGAATCGCGGCAAGGGGAAGGGCGGCAGGAAGCCTGGTGGTGGTGGGCGGAAGGTCGATCCGTTAAAGACGTTTAATCGCGGGAGGAAGTAATTTTATTTTTTACTGGAGGGTGGTTGGCATTTATGTTTGGATGGAGAGGGTCGGCACTGTACTGTACATAACTTGGGATTTGGTTCATAGAAAGAAAAAGTTTCGCGTGAGATGCATTGATTATAGTGATCGTGGAGTACCCATAGCTGAAGATTAGAAAGATATCTCTTTCCATTGTTGCAGCTGCAGCTGCTGTATATTCTACCTAAGTTGCAGTTATAGATTTTTCCCTACTATACAGTATATGCTGCACCGTACACCCCCAAAAACGCTACCGCCGCACCCCAAAAATCAAGGCAACAGATCCAACCACCTCGGCCCAAGCAACCTCTTCAAAGCATCGTCCTCCAATCCCTCCAACCCGAACGAGAACGTCACCCACTTCCCCTTGCCCTCCTTCCGAACGCGCTGCACGTTCCGCTGCACCTCCTTGGCCGTCTCCACGATCTCGCGGTACCGCTGCACCTCCTTCATCCGCCGGTACTTGATCCTCTCCTCCTCGACGTCCCAGGGGAGATTATCACCATCATCATCATCATCATCATCATCATCACCGCGGGCGCCAGCACCCGCCGGAGGGGGGGCATGCATCGACGCAGCCAGGGCTCGTCTTGCCCCACCTACACCTTCTACTAGAGTTGCAGGTCTAATGCCTTCTGGAACTAGCTGCTGCTGCAGTAGCGCAGGATCATCATCCCCCTCAAGCGAAGGCACCCACCCGGCGCCCAACCGGATGAACTCGACCTCGCGCCAGGAGCCATTCCACTCCGGACCGGAGGGATACACCTCGCCGTCGGGGCCGCGCCCGACCCAATTCAGCGCGGGGAGCCACTCCCCGCAGCCCTCGAGGTCCAGCCATTTCAGGCAGTAGGTGGCGCGCGACAGCCGGCGCAGGAGGCCCGCGACCTCGGCCCAGTTGTTGTCGCTGGCGGCGTAGGCGTCGGTGCCGCCGTAGGCGAAGGTGAGGGAGCGGTGGGCCGGGTGGCGGACGGTGGCGGTGCGGGCGTGCGGGGTGGCGGTCGGGAGGGGCCAGTGGGCGAGCGAGAGGTGGGTGATGCGCGTGAGGCGCGCGAGGAGCGTGATCAGGCTGTTCCAGTTCGCGGAGGCGGGGGTCGGGTGGGCGAGCGAGAGGTACCGGAGGTTGGTGAAGCGCGGCGTGCGCAGGGTTGTTGTTGTTAGGGATGTGGGTGTAGTAGGTTGTGGGGGTTGGTGTTCGTCGTATTCGTCCTCCCAGGAGGATGGGACGGCGGAGGTGGAGGCGGAGGCGGGCTCGTTGGGTGTTTGCTGGAGAGCAGGGGTGGATTGCTTGGTCGTGAGGAGCAGTTCGCTGGAGATTTGCTTGAGCGTGAGCCAGCGGCCTAGGGCGCTGCTGAGGTCGAGGCGGGTGATTTCGTCGTCGTTCTCCTGCGCTGCTCCTGCTGCTCCTGCCTCGCTGCTGTGCTCATGGGAAGCCGCGAAGTCATCGTCCAACGGCTGCTGTTGCTGCTGCTGCTGCTGAGAGCGAGGGAACAAGACCCGCAGCCCCAACCCAGACGGGATCTGATAGTCCCGAGTGTATACACCAATGAAACTGAGCAGTCGGGCCTTGACATGATTAGGCAGGTCCGCGAGAAACGGGCCGTCGTACTCGAGATGCCACGCCCAGTACAGCGCCATGGCCTTCAGCACGGTATGCTGCAGACTTCCCCTGGCGGGGAACGTCGTGCCGGGCAAGCGCTCCGCCAGTCGGTAGATGGTGCGACGACTCTCCGTCGCGCCATCTTCCTCCAGCTCCTTATCCTCCTCCTCCCGGCCGTAGTTCCCCACGAGCCAGCTCTGAGGGGCGGGGGGTCCGGCGGCGGTTCGTCGCGTGCCCCGGCGTGCGCCGACGACGGCGTGGCGGCGCGAGCCCGGCCGCGGGCGCGGGGGCGGGGTCTCGGGGAGCTCGAGGAGATTGCGTAGAGACGGGTGGACCGAGCGGGGGACCACGAATCGATAGGGGTTTTCGGGTCCGTGGTCGGGGGTTCGTGTGATTTGGGTGCGTCGGAGGTGGTCGATCAGCTCGTTCACGGAGGGTTGTTCTTGTTGCTCGGCGGGGGAGGAGGTGGAAGACGGGCGGAGGCGATCATGGTCTTTGGGGCGGGAACCACCGGAGACCAGAGTGTGATGGGCTGTACTCGCTGGCTTCGCATAGACATTCTTCTTGAACTTCTTGGGCATAGGGGATAGTGGTGGTGGCGGTGGTGGGTGGCATGGAGTGTGAATGAATCGGCGAGAGTAGGAGGTGGAAGCGGGAGTTAAATTAACATTGGTTATTGTCAAGAAACAATTGACGTCGGCGGGTCGAAGTAAAGTTGCGGAGCGGAGTTAACTTGTAAGCAAGGCTGGAAGGAATAATGAGTCGAATTGACTCACGGTGGGCCTGGCCTGGCACAGCCTCCATTGGCTGACTGGGCACCCTGGCTTGATAACTATGTTTCATCGTGAATCTGTACAGTACACTTCGTCTATCAAATATGCTCTAATTTACACTGAAAATGGCTTTGGCGTGTCGCTGTAGTTGCTTCAAAGATCGCGCACCCAAGAATCATCCAACATCTTCCCCTCCCGATTGGGGCCTTCTCGAATCCACGTTTCAGCGAGACCCGCTTTGGGGTCTTCATCCGAGTGGCCTCGAGACCGCCGCACCTCGAGAACCAGGTTTCGAACCTTCATGGTAACCTCCTTGCGCAGCTCAACCGCCTCCGTCCCGTACAGGAGCTCGTCATTCAGCACTCCGAGCGGGAGGTCGCGGGTGTCGGGCGATGTGCGCTCCGCCTTGGCCCTGATCTGCTGCCACTTCCTCCGCGACTCTCCGAAGACGGCTTCGGTATCGACCTTCTTTCCGAACGTGATGCTGACCTCCTTGCCGACCCGGGGCAGGAAGCGCGGGAACTCGCGACTCTCGTGCATGACCTGGTCGAAGCCCTCCAGCCAGATGGGCACGACATCGGGACATTCACTGGCCTCGAGGATGAGCCGAGCGACCCCCCACTTGAAGTACCGCATCGTCTTGTTAGGCGCCTGGTGGATCATGCCCTCGGGGAAGATATGGAACCAGGAGTAGGAGTTGCAGGCGAAGGAGGACGGGGACAGGTGGGAATCGTGGCCGTCGGTCGTGAACGCCATCGGGAGATCCGAGAACGGGTCGACGCAGACATTCTGCAAGCTCCACGATTGCCGCTCGGGGCGGGCGAGATGGGGATCGGCGGCGAATGGGCCCTTTGACAGCAACCGAATCGCCTGGGTGACAACGGGTTGTGCCAGACCACCGTGTGGCGAATGGGCCAGTCGATGGGTGGGAAGGACCTGGCCCATTGTAAAGAACAGCGCCAGGGGTCTGATGTCGATTCGCTCACATTAGCCCACCACCCTTCCCAATATCAATCTCGGTGGAAATGCCCAGGATCGCATACCTGGTCTGGTAGCAGATATCATGGCTCCCAAAACCCCATCGTTTGTTCGACGAGGAAAGGGTCAGCCAGTATCGCATAGGAAGAAACCCCCACATGATCGGATCATCCATCCTGCTCGGGGTGTCGCGTCGCGACCATGATCAGCCATCTCCGTTGTAAGAAGTAAATTGGAATCGCCTCGGACCTCAAGGCGCATTTGTACGCACGTACACGCTAGTATGGTTCGAAACTATTGCAGGAGATCATAGAATTAGCCACTTCTGTTCGAAGCCTTGGCGCAACTGCGCGGCAAGAGAATCCGGGAGGAGAAAATACCTGTTAACAACCCTCTTCTCCTCTGGGCCGGATCGCGTCTCGAATCGAGCAACTCCAGAAATGGCTCCAAGCCGTATACCTCGGGCTTGCTGCACACGTACAGAAACGACCGGCACAGCGATGCGACCCCCAGCATGGTCGTGGCGGACAGAGTCCTCCATGGGAGCGAGGGGGCCTCTGCCGTTGCGCCGGCGTCCGTCGTCGAGCGCGACATTTGTACTGTATGTGTGTGAACTCGGTAGTAGTTTTAGTAGGTTGGCCTTTGACGGGTTAAACCACGCCCGCATCCAAGAACTCAAAACTCTCAGAGGAAAGACAGAAGAAGACACCCAGAAGTTAAAGAGATAAATAAGATAAATAATCTAAATCACGCACAAAAGGGAAGAGACCCCGAAAACCGACAGCGTGCGACCAAGTAGCACCTTCATTGGGCGAAAACAAAACCGAGGGAAAAGAGAGTGTGTGTGAGAACTTGGAAGCAGAGAGAGACAGAGAGAGAGAGAGAGAGAGAGAGAGAGAGAGAGAGAGAGACGGTCCCGCGGAGGTGAAGAGATGGCACGGACCAACTTTCCCAAACCTCGACGGGATTTTCGTCCGCTCCTCCACCTCCAAAACCCGCAACGGCTATCCTATCCCACATCTTCCCCTCTCTCTTGCAACCCGGTGTGTGTGTGACGCTCTGTTCAAGATGATGTTCAAGCCCTCGTCGCCGCTCTTCTCGGGTCTTCTCTGGTAAGTCGCATTGTTCTAGTTTCCAGACTCCCTCAACCCCCCCGATCGAACTCCGCACTCTCCGTCTCCCTCCCATCATCATCAACAAGTTCTTTCCCACGCCACCGCTAGCTATCCCCTCTCCACCCAAATCCAACAAAGCAATCACTAACTCCAACCCCTGAAAAAAACAGGAAGATCCCCTGGCGCATCTCCGCGCCCCAGAAAGCCCGCCAGCGGAAGCGCCTCCGCGCCGTCGACCGCGTCGTGGACACGGTGAGCGCGGCGCTGGCCCGGAACGGCCAGACGGCCAAGCCCGTGACGCGGTGGTTCAACGAGATGCCCCGCGAGGAGGAGATGCTGCCCAAGGACAAGTACACCATCTTCGACAAGAAGGAGAAGAAGTACCGGAAGGGGATTCACAGTGAGTGTTCCAGCAGCCGCCCTCAATCAAAGCTTGCTTCTGTCGACCCAAGAGCATTCCGGCAAGGGAGGGAAAGAAAGCTAACATTGCAAATCCCAATCCAAACAGAGCTGCCCAAGTGGACGCGAGTCAGCCAAAGAGTCAACCCCCCTGGTTTCTAAAACGGTGTTCGTTTACTGGATCATTTGCGCCCGACAGAAAACGTATCATCCGCTATGAGAAGAAACAACCTTCGTCTCACTACCGAACTTCTTATCTTGCACACAAAACGATTTTGGAGTTGGCAACGCTGTATTATACACCATCATATTATCACCACACCGTCCATGTTGATTACCCCTTTCCCATATAAAAAGGCTTTCCGAGTTTAGGGGGAAACGGGATACGGGCAAGGGCGACTATCGGAGTTTTTATCTTTTGGCAACTGGGAGATGACACATTATAGCTGCATTGGTATTCCTTGATATTCACAATGTTCAATTTTTTTTCTCGCCTTATACCGTCCGTACAACCACTATGTTCGCATCGCTTGATTGAGCTGCGTGTTCGGTATCTCGACAGTGTAAAGATAGGTGGACATATAGTCATATCAAAGCAAGACAGCTCGGAAATAAGAATATGGCAAGAAAGAGCCTCGGGCTGGATCACTTCTCCCATACATTGCCGCCTTTCTAATTCCTGTCCCCGCATTCGCAAGAGTTGCCGTCAATCACCCTTGTGTCAAAGTGACGCCACTGACTATGATTATGTTGTTACCCGCGAGTAGCCAGATATCAGGAAATTTTGGAGATGCCCAGTCGATAGTATCTCGTAATACCAAGCGCAATCTCTTTTGCTCGTCTCCGGTTTGCCCTTCCCTCGTGGATTGCCTTCCGGATTCGATAGCCACGGCGAACCTTTTGCCAGTCGTCTAGCGTCTCCTGCCAGCCTGCTCCTCCTTCATAGAATACGGTCCCCTGGCGAGAGGACATGCTAAATCCTTGAGGCGGTTTTCGAAGGATCCAGCATGCAGGGTCAACCTTGCCATCCGGGGGTGCGTCGTCTGAACCCTCAAATAGCTCAACACCTTTAATGACATCGTCCAGCCCGCCTGCTCGTCTGTTCCGATTTACAGCTGCTCTCCAGGAGTTGATCTTCGGGACATTGGCGGTTCTGCGTTGCAGCTTGGGGTACTTCGGCTTCGGGGTCCAGTCAGGGGCTGGGTATGGGTCATTGAATCTTGGGTCCCCAAGTCGGCGTCTAGCATCAATCGAGATTCGGGTCGGGGGGTCAATGACGATCCATGTCTCAGGGTTCAGCCAGTGATTGGCAAGGACGGCAAAATGGTACGGTCTGCGTCCGGGCATGAGCTGGTTGGAGAGCCACTCAAGCCTCCGGTCTAGGTCAGCTATCAACCGTAAATCACAATCTCCCAGTCCGATGCCAGAAGCTTTGGGTTGGTCCACATTGAGGGCTTCCACGTTTGCCTTTAGGCGAGATGCAAAGCCTTCATGTGAACTCTGCCCAAGCCCTAGACCCTTGGGTCCAATTGGCAAGCAGTCTCTCGAAAAGCTTTGATTCATTCCAGCCTCAAGGCTTCGCAAAGATAGAATGTTTCTTTCTTTGTGGTAGAGGTGCTCAGAATATACCGTCTCGGAGAATCGTCTCGCGATTTCAGAATTGAACGCCGTATGTCGAAGAGGTGTAGCATTTGCGGCAGCACTGCGTCTTCTGTTTTCGAGGGGTAAACTGCTCCATCTCGAAGATGATATTCGGCCACCCCACTGTCTTGTCATGTCACACAGTCCAGGGACAGGATTAGTATCTGACAGAAGTCCCGTGAGTCTGTCAATTTTTTCGACACGGACAGGTGGACAAAGAGATTCCTCATGGGTTGTGTGTTTACTCATCCGAGTGCAGCGTACGCGATATGGGCACGAGTAGCGAGACTTATGCCTGGCACTTGAGTTGTTATCAGGACTGGTCATATGATGACGGGCCCAGTGTGTCATGAGGCCGTCCTGTCTCCTGAGGCGCTCTGCCACGGGGTCGAAGCACGGGAGGGAGCGACTTTGCGACAGTCTTGGGACAACAGCAGGAATGTTCCGCTCACACAGAGCCAACTGAAAAGAACAAAATGAATGCTCTAGAGTCAATGTTCTTCGAGCCTCGATCTGACAGCGAATTGGCCTGCGTAACTCTCCTGTTGCGCTCATGAACCCATCCCCAACCGGTGCGGGAGCATCAGGCCGCGTCACCGCTCCGCGACATCCATCCTGGAGATAGACCTTGATAGAGACCTGCGTGCAGATACTCGTCCTTGACACAGTGTGTCTGTTCCCCACGACACGTTTCAGGGTATGACAAGAAGAAAGTGCTCCGGCCATTCGGAACGACAGCGACTGACGACTACTGCTCGGCGCAGCGATGACACCAGCAAGGTCAGCGGGCCCAGGATTCCAGATAGCATCCGCAGCAGTGAAACTATAACTCCTGATCCAACGAGGCAACCACCGCAACGGCCGCCTCGTCTCTCGGTATTTGTTCAGATCCCTCTGCCCCGGATCCCACCACACCCAGCTGTAGTCCTGGTTCGACGATCGCCACGCCGTCCACCTGCAGAACTTCTCGAAACAGGTTCGGAAGAACTTCTTGAGTCCAGCATGCTTCTCCGCTGGTACCCAGCCGTACCAGGTCCGGGCGTAACGGGCGGTGGTCGCGTTGCCAGGCTGGGTAACTTTGGCCTGGGTGAAGCGGCGGAAGAATCTCCCGAGCTTCCAGAAGAGCACCGCGAGGACGAAGATGGAGATTGTGATTGCGAACAGCTGCAGCAGCACCCGGAGACTGAAGCGCTTGGGGCCGGTCATGGGAGCCGTGTCGACGCTTCGCGTTGCGTGGGAGAGGAAGGGACCATGGTAGTATGGTTGTATAAGGACGGGTGCCATCGGACGCGTGAAAGGAGCGTAGCAAGGCAGTCATTCTGATAAGAATACTATTGCTTGCACTGGTGGAAGTGAGTTTCGCCTCAGCCACTCCATGAGTGTTTGACTGGCGTGTAGTAGAGAGGCATCGTCGCAGAGGAAGGAAGGCATGGCGGTAAGGAGAGCCCAGAGCTCCGTCACCTTCCCTGCCGGGGAAACTTGACCAGTTACCTAGCCTTCGTATGACTTCTCCAGAGAGGACTGGCGAAAAGTCATGCCAACCATTTCCTGCGGTATCTTTGAGCTGGAATGCTTAATGCAAAGCCCCTACTCAAGCACTGCAACAAGTTATCCAGATTATGTTCAAACCTGTAGCCTTCACAATCGGAAGCTCTACACCAGACGGACAGCAACAATCCAACGATTGACCCTGGCGCGCGGAATACCTTAGAGGCTTTGAGATTGACTGACAGTCTATAACTTCATATCTCGGTCTGTATCCATAGCTTCCACGAGCTGTGGTTTGACATGCAGGTACGGCTCTCGACCTCGCCCTGAAACTCTTCGATTATGCCGAGAAGAACCAAAGCTACCACAAGTCACACATGGCGAGGATCGAAGAATCACAAAACGGAGAAACTCGTTGAGATTCCAATCACTCGCTCCAGTTCTTGATCAGCCTAAGAACAGTCAGATCGAAAAGTTCAGAAGTCATTGCATGAGCCATAAGTGACGAGAACCCTTCCCTACATCTCGTGTCGTCTCATATACTAAGAAGAATTCCTAACAGCGCGCAGTCTGACATCAACCTCTTCTTCATCGTATACAGGACAACTGCCAGGACTGTTGCTACAGATGCTCAAGTGCAGGGAGCATGTCAGGTGACCGTTCTCTGAGCAAAGGATGCAGCGGTTTCTCGCCTCACTATTACGCCTCATTTCAATTTCGCTGACAGCCATCGACGGAAATACCTCTAGATCCTTACTACGATCCTTTTCTGCTCGTTCAGATTCTCCGTCCCTCATCTCTCTCTCTCTCTTTCTCTCTCTCGGCGACATTTCCCCTCCACAGTGGGATAAAATCACTCCGAGGCCCGATATTACGTCGGTCTCAATTTATTGAACTTTTTGAATCCTCCCAGAGGGGAGCCCCTCTTTGCGAACGATTTTCCTTGTTTTCCACGTCAAAAAAGCAAGGTTCGGCAACTAAAGTAGTAGACTAAGATCGAGAAGGGCAGGACTCCACATGGACTACGGCATTTGCATCCGGCCTAGCTCTGAATCTGATCCATGCGCCAACTTTGAACCCCGGTCCCGGACAGTATGTCTTGAAGTCTCCACAATACTTTATACGCTACTATCTCGTATGTAGTACCTATTGTAGTTATAGTCAATCCTTGGGATGCAAGGATAGCCGCAATGCCAGGGCTTCCTTGATCAGGTCTTTAGAGTGGAATCGAAGTTCTTTGACCTGAGACGGTGGAGTGGATCCCGAAAGTTGCTGGATTGCGCAGGGCCGCGAAGCTCGTATGACAAAGACATATGTGATGATCTCGCGGATCGCATATCCAGGTTCTGGTTGGCAGCGGGGGATTCTTAAGAGCTTCCGTTCCAGGGCTGCAGACGCCACAGCGTGTTGCCTCAACAAGTCAGACTCGTATCTGAGTATGAGAGGCTGATGGCTAGGTGTCAGCTCGCTGCTGCCGCTGACTTGACGGTCAATCATCGTGCCAATGTTCCGCCCACAAGAACAGAAAGGGTGATGAGGACTTGACGTTGAGCTCTCACGGCGCATCTCATGATCAAGAATGATGAGTGGTAGTGCAGAGGAATGTAGCCTAGAAGGTCCAAGCGGTCAATGGAAGCGTGTCTAGAATCTGTACGCCACCTGCGCGGGAACGGAAAACAAAGCCGGCTTTTCTCCCTTTGTCTCCATCGAACAAATGAGAACGTCCGGAGCGACACCTAGCCACTCTGCGGACTTATTTACCTCTTCCAGTCAATCGCAGGTGAACAAATCGTGTCATCTGCATGTCGAACAGATCTTCAGATCGATCTCAAACTTTGTCAAGCATATCTGCTTCTGCGTAGGCAGGCTGAAAGGCTATCCGTGTTTACTGTGGTGACCTGAGAATTAGGGAGAGAATGGCAGAAGCACGTAAGTCAATCGTTGAGGTCAATTAGTCAGTCGGAAAGGCAAGCCACAACTAGCTGAAGGCTATCCTCAGGGTCAAAAAGTGTGATATCTAGGATCGGTGCATGGTACCTTTGTTGCGCAATCTTTCGCCCCGCCTAGCTGTTGAACCTTGCTAATGTTCGGCCGAAGCGGACTTTAGTCGACTAAATGTATGATCGTCCATGATGTGCACATAAACTTCGGATTGCCAGGATCGGCTGAAACAATATTGACACTCTCACAGAGCAGGTCAGAGAATGGACTCATCACACTCATAGGTGCTAGCTTCGTTGAGGGCTCAGGCTAAGATACACGCTTTCGCAGTCGAGCTTCCCTAGCCCCAGCCTCCGTGCAATCCCTATTCGCCAGGCCAACCAAGGCCGAATCATCATAGAATCGTTGATGGTGCCGGGATGTGGTACTCAGAAGAGGGGTTCAGGCCGCACAAGGGTAGGGAGGAGCATAGAAACAAAGAGAGAGGAGGAGAAAAGAAAAAGAAAAGAAGCTAGTGCATCCTGAGTTATGTGCGGGCCTCGTCGTGTGTGCTCGGGGACCTGCCATCAAGCAGAAGCCGAAGAGTGACCGTACAGAACACCCTCATTCGACAGAAGATCACCCTCGTGACAGCCACACAAGTAGCTCACTGTGGGCCACGCTTTAGCGTTCAAAGTGTTTATCAATGTATAGAGGGATCCATCCTGCAAGGACTCCACTGGGTTGTGCTGAGTGACACCCTGTTCACCGCCACAATCAGAGCCGTTGATCCTCGGTAAGCCATCTGTGGCTGGTGGACCACGTTTCTAGCCCAAAGGGGAATGAGCGTACCTCGACCTCGGACGGTCAACACCGTCCGCGCATGGGACTAGAACTCAATCAGTAGTCCCGATCATCTCGCATTACATTGCAGGTCAAGATATTGGGTTGAGTCCTGGTATCTGGGAAAAAGCAAGAATTGTGGCGTCGATGACGAGGTCTTAGGTGTCAAGACATGCCTCTCTTCCCCCGTCATGTTGTTCTCCGCTTACGAGACAAAGTAACTTGCTCGTATTTTTCGTGTTTTGATAACACTGGATTCTCTCCTAGAGTCATCAGTGAGACTCATGTAGAGCAATCACAATGCCATCGGTTTCACTGCTTTGCATGAGCAATGTAAATACGGAACTTGGCCGCCCTGCCCTGTTTCAGCAGTCAAGGGATGTCGTCATCCATCCTGCGGTCTAATCGGCGATTGCATCTCCAAAACCAAAAGTACCGTACTAGCGGCAGCGCAGAACCGTGGTGGTGTTCTCCGTCGGCGCCAGATGATGCATAGTAATCCGCGGAATCGAATGACTCCACCGTGTGTGTGTGTGTGTGTGTGTATCTGTGTGTGTGCACATCTTAGCGCACTGTGCATGGCTAACTCTGGAAGTAAAGGGCGCGAAGTCAAGAGCGTTAGCCTGCATTGCAAGGTGGATTGGCTTCCAATTATTGAGTTTCATGCAATTAGGTTTCATTCTCAATAGGCCCTCTATGTCACAACAAAAGCCGAAGAACAATGACCCGTTGGTCCGACCGCGAAAGTACCATGATGGTGAAAGAGAGAAGAAGTTATCCGGACCGAGTAGCGGGGAAGAGCCAGCAGCGTTAGGGGGTGTGGGGCTCGTAACATCTGCTCTACCAGGGCTATTGTTTTTGATCTGCGCGAAGCACGATTTCCGCCATACTGAGGCTGAGGTGAGCTGTGGCTGGTCGATCCCTCTTGACCTAAATAGGCATGTAGTGTGGCGAAGTCTTCCTTGAATTGACTGCCAGGTGTGGCTTTCCCCCCTCCTTTTCCTGCTTCTGTCAGCAAGACTGGCTTTCTCAGGGCGGATGTGAGAAGATCATCCCTTACTAGCTTCGGTCTGTGGCATGTACCACTGAGTTCAATTGCAATCGATTCACCGGCCAAGCTGTGTACGTGACGCCGAATCGGGACTTCAGTTCGACCGCCGTAATTTGCTAGACAGGCGCTTGATTCAGAGTGACCGGCTTGACTAGGTCTGGGGTTCTGGTGGGGTGTTGCTGGGGATGTGAAGGTGAAGATCGCCCGGGAGGTCACATTTGAAGCTGTCAAAACGTGGCTTCGGTAGCTTGACGATCACAAGGCCTCGGGGGTTCTTAGGTACCTAGTAGTGTACAAATCGTTTCAGGCCGCAAGGAGACAAACGCAAGTGTGGTCGATTTTTCTGACTCTCGGACTTTCCACGGAGGAAGGGGGGAATGACTGGAAGGGAGGCGGGGAAAGAGGTGGAAAGTGAAGGGAACTTGGGGAGATCAACTCTTCAGATGGAAGGAAGGCGGAAAAAGAAAGACTGCGACGAACCATAGTTCGTGACTAGTCGATCAATCTCGGGTCTACTAAATTGTCTAGTCAGTTTAAGCTTCACATTCATCTCCCCTGGCATGCAGTCATTCCATACAGTACACAATCTGACATCTCCCATTGCAGGCGAGGTGCCATGGGGATTTCCAGGAATGCCACTGACACCCTTCGTCTCCATCGAGATAGGACAGGCAGTGATAGACAATTGTCTTTTGGCGCTTCTCTTATCACGCTAAAATGGGTCTCTAGGTTTGCGCTTACGGATGGGGCAACAAAAGCAACTAGACTCGATGCAGGGTCAGAAAAAGTAAAAGTTTCGAGTCAAAGCAATGGATCTCACAGTTTAGTGGGTAATGATGATGCAGGCGCCCTTTCTTCTGGATCGTGCAGGCTTTATCTGTGCCTAACTTCTAATAACCTCTCAGTCTCCTGCATAACAGGGGTCCAGAGACTTCACTATGCAGATCTGCTCGGACTAGAACTTCAAAGGTCTAACCGAGATTGATTCCATCGTGGTGGCAAAGGTTCATTGACACAGTGAGCATTTACCTGGCCCAGATTGATACGGTCAATATTGCACCCTAGTTCACTCCATTGGTAGGCTCAAGGGTTCAATGCATATATGAAGGGCTCGGAATGCCTTCCCATCGATGCTTCTTTTCCTCATCCACAGATTCCAATGTCAACTGAACACACAGACCTCTCACGAATACTTCATCGCCTCATTTGTGTTGTGTTGAACGCAACTCTTGCATTGTTGAGCGGTTACAAAGCATTTCATCTTTATCTCATAAGTCTATCAAATAGACCGCGCTTCGTCTTCAGTCTAGAAACAACCATGGTTCAAGGCAACGCAAGAGCAGATGCTGGAGGCTCTAGTCGGGAGTATGGAATCAATTTTGAGGTCGCGCCTCCGACCACTGTCTCCCCTGGGGTTTCCATATCATTACCAGTGGTTGTTGTGGTGAGACCGGTAGGAGCTCCAAGAGCCCCTACACAGCAGCTAGTTGCGCATATATCGCTCAGGAACGAAGCCGGGACCGCCCCTGCTCCAGGGCTTACGGGAGTGCTTACTTCCAGTGTGCGCAGCAGCAGTGGGAATACGATCAGCGGTTATGCGCGGTTTGGGCCTCTCAAGTTCACTCAGGCTGGGAGGTTCCGGATGCGGGTCATGCTCGGTGCTGCCTCGTCCAACGGTGTATCTACGAGGGAGTATGTTGATTCTGGAATTATCACGGTACAAGCGGGTGCTGCACCTCCGCGTCCAAGTACGTACACCGTCAAGCTTGGCCCAGGTTGCCCTTAACTAAATTGAGTGATAGCACCTGCACAAGTCTCCAAGCTACAGAGCCTGATATCAGAAAATATTGATATCACAGTCGCAGACATCGCAGCATGGCAGGCTGCCTGAAGCTGAACTAGGGCACTCCCTGTTTCACCGTTTGCCCTTCGCGTTGATCGCGAATGTCTAGAGTGAATTCTGAGCTATGAGTTCTTTCTTCCTTTGCCGTTGGCGCTGTTTCCAAATCAATTCCAGCTAAAGAAAGCAGCCTGCTGTGACTGCCGCAGTGTGGAGCTCCATGTTGCAAAGTCTGTGAGAGGATACGTACCGGACATGACCCCCAGATACAGAAAGCCAGCCATCATTAGATCTTAATCTTTAATTCGATGGAAAGGGACATTCTACAGCATATTAGATACCACAACTAGAAGCAGCGACATAAGTTCCGCTAGGTCTTTCCTAGGTTGTTATCTTCTCTCCAAAGCCGATGGCACTTTATTCCCTCTCCTACTAGCCCTATATCACTTCCACCACGACCTCCACCATCTCCTCCCACCACCAAAAATCTTCAATGACCAGAAACGCCAACCAAGCAGCATCACAGGAACAATAACTCCCGTCCCGTTTCTCATCCACCCGAAGCACGAACCAGCCCCCTCGAGACCCCGCTCCCGCCCTTGCATTCCTTCATTCCGATCCCATCCCGATGACCCAAGATCTGCGTGCATTCCAGTGCGACGCGACACACGTCAAGAAACCTCGCAGTCTTCCTTCTTCTATGCTTAAATACCGCAATCAATCTGCTGTGTTATCGTTGGTAAGCACTCGCGTTCCGCAAGGGATGCACCCAGTACGGAACCATGGATATACTGAGTAGATACCGGTGGTTCCGAATGGCCATTCCTCTCTGGCTTGCTTCTTCCTCGGTTGTTTTCTTGCTTTGCTGTGTACTGTGAATTCTTACAATAACGGACTTCCATCAAAGACAACCTGGATCTAGTTGATCTCCTTCTGGACAGGGGATTTCACCCTCGTGCCGGGTTCATTAAGTTCATCTTATCAACCTCATCACCAAGATTTGCGTAAGTCGATGAAGACTAAGCATAGACCGGGAAGACGGAATCCAGAACTCAAGGTATACAATCAAAGAGCTCGTATACTCCTTTATACAAGGCGTGGGACAGAAAGTCACATAGCTGCATGACATCTTGTGAGATCTGATCCAGATGTCGAGATGATGATCAATCGCGGGTCGATCCGTCGGAAGTGGAGTTTCTTTCGAGTACGGAAATCTTTAGTTCAGGAACAGAGTCGTGAGCGAGGTGTTGCGGTGGGCGGGTATAGTAACCACTGGTACAAGCTATATACGACAAGTCGCGGCTCTGGGTATTGTTTACTGGTAAGTGAATATAGTGTTCATCCACAGCATCTAAATTCTGGACTGGTGTATGTTAACGAATAGGACTATAGGAACAATCAAAGAATATGAGTGGTGGTGACACCAGTTTTCAATACTAGTAGAACTGCTATAAAAATCGACATATGCACCCAATCCACTCAATTCCGGCAGATGATCTATACCGACAAACAGAACCATAATTCGGGTACAGGACATTCACATGGCATCCTTCCAACATAAACGAGCCGAACGCTCAAGCAGAGTATCGGAGCTCCATGCAGTCTGCCAAGCACTCCGAAGTCCCTAAGCCCGACAATAGGCCCACGACACTGGCACATCCTCAACTCTCGATCCGCGAGGTCCGAAACAGTTCCCCTGCCCAAGGCAGGAGTCAACCCATCACGACCCTCCCCACTACTCGCCTCCATATGAAGCGACATGCTCGCACCTCAAGACCAATCAACGGTAAATGAACTGCTGCGAACCCTCCTCGCCGGGATATGAGGACAAGAATGAAGACGAAGACGAAGATCGCAAGGTGACCTTTCTGCCTCCATGAGGTTCATGTTCCGCTAAGCAGGGCGAATCAACCCCCGATTGTACTTGCAATGGCGGTGGAGGGACCCTTGACTTAGATCGGAAGACTCTTCGGGATGGAAACCCCTTTGTGAGAAGAGGATCTAGAGATCGTGGGTATTGTTGTTGTTGTTGTTGTTGTTGTTGTTTGTGTTCTTGGTTTTCCTTTGGGTATCGCCCCACTGGGATTCAATCCTTGGTGTGGTGGTTGTGCAGCAGGCGGTCGACGCCGCCGCGCACGGTGTCGCGCAGACTGAAGCCGCCGAATAGCCAGTCGTTGGAGTGGCGGCCGCAGTGGTTGACGGTGCCGCTGTAGCGGCGGTAGTCCTCGGTGCTCTTGCGGGAGTAGGCAGAGGAGGAGGAAGAGGAAGTGCGCTTGTGGGAGTGGTCATCGTGGACCTGGGTGGCTCTCGAGGGGGTCATTTTGAATGTTTTATTGTGAGACTATGATTATTATGGTGGTGGTGGTGGTGGTGGTTGTAGTTGTCTTAGATAAACAAAGCCTGATCACTCAAACCCTCGACTCAAATTTCCGATAAAAACACAGAAGAGGAGAACAAAAACCTCAACGCAGCAAACCCCCGGGAACAAGAAGGGTATTTATGCACCAGAACACCAACGCTCTAACCCCTCAATTTCAATTTCAGACTGCCGACTTGGCTACGCTATCAGCAATCGGGGGCCCATCTGGGGCCTAGCGGGCCAGCGGGCCAGCCTTAGTGTCGGACATAGGCGGGCTGGCGAATCGGGCGACGCCAGCAAGGAGGGAAAGGGGCTCCATCGATAGGGCTTTCAGCAAGAGTGGAGCGGTGAAGATGCAGCGTGTTCTCCACCCCTCTGCCCTACGAGTCGGCCAGTGTGCCAATCACATTGCCATCCCGGTACTGTCAACCCCGTCAGGAGGCTCCAATTCACCGCTGCCTGTTCTTTAGTCTACACAGTAGCACTTCGTATTCGGCATGCATACCTGTTCCTTCCCCCAAGAAAACGTGGACAACTCACACACCCAAACCATCATCATTCCATCTCACTCCCTACAGTAACTTAAGATGTTACCACCAATCCCAACACTACATGAAATCAAATCCTTCCAGAACCCCCATCTGACCACCACTGCACTGCACCTCGGCTGGCACGCACCTCTCTCCCTCTCCCTCCCCTCTCACACAAAGCAACAAAAAAAAAAAAACACGATCACGCGTAAATCCGCCCCCACACCGTCGAATGTGCTAACTGGGTTCCCCACTCCCCAGACCGGCCAATCCATCCAATAACCCACCACAGACAGAGTGATAGGGCTCACTAGGGCTGATAGTGCGGTTGTTAGCGCTTCAGCTTGGGGGGGATCTTCATTCCATTGATTCCGTCCGTTCCGTGAGCAGGTCAATTTTCTCAGGGGAACACACTTCCAGTAACGAGACAACAGGTTACCGTGAGGGTAAGGAGGGTTGACAGGCAATAATTCAAGGTTCGAGCACAATGTTTCACCACGTTCCACGGACCAACTCACTGGCCAGGTTGGTGTGTGCGGGCGTAAAAATAGCAGCGGGACTTGTACAGTACAGATGTCTCGGTTTCGGCTGGGTTAGCAACGCAGCAACAACGGTTGACTACGTTGCTCTGGCCCGGATACTGACGCTCAGTGGGACATGCCAGTTCAAATCAGTTCTATCTGGTCTCGATTTCGAACACTGCTAAATCCTCATACACGAACTCGGTGTGAACTACTCTGTATGCACTCAAGTCAAGAAGTCAACAAGACAGCATCCGCGGAGATCCACTGCATCTGTCACCGAGTAGACGAAGCACCCATTCACACCCCGAAAACCCCGACTCCCATCCCCACTCCACTCCCAGCAAGTGGGCACGTTGAGGCTCTTTCTCGGACCCAGTGACATCATGTTCAGCTGGAGTCACAGAAAGCCAAGCGCGACAGCATCTCCATGCCGCGTGAATTCGGCACGGTCGTTCCGGGCGCTGTCTACTGTCTGTCTATATCTTTGACAGGTCCAAAGCACGGTCTCGTGCACTGATACAAGGCAAAAGATGCGCGGTTGCCCCGCGGTAAATCGCTCTGCAAGGGTTACAAAAATGTTTCTGCAAGAAGCCTACCTAGTTTTGAGGTGTTATTATTTGTGTCCATGTCCAATCTAGCTAGGCTACCGACCGACCGTAACATCACGCGCCGCAAAACCACGTGAATAACCCGACCGCCCGACCGCCCGACCGCCCGCGCGCAACTCTGTCCTTCATGCAAACATGCAAATAACCTATCCCCGTATACCATGTATACCAGACGCCCGAAGCAGAATGCTAACAACGACCAGAACAAAATAGAACACGGTGAGAATGAGAAGCAGCAAAACAGGCAGAAGAAAAACCTACAAGACTCTCGAGCACACCAGCCTGAAATAGAATGAGAAGAGCCCCAATTAAAAGACACCATGTAATGAACAAACCACTAAAGCAGCAGCACCTCACTCTTCTTCAAGCGGCCACAAGCTCGCACTTGGCCGTTTCCAAGACCGCGGCTGCTCCGAATGACACCGCCGATGGTTCCTCTCCGACAGCAGATCCATTGCTCTCCCTCGCCGACCACCACCAGTACCACCACGACCACCTGCAACATCCACTACCGGCACTGACAACAACCCACCAGAAGTCGCGTCAACCTGACCTGCAGCGTCTAACTTTCCGGCACGCGGCGAACTCGGCGTCGAAGGCACCAAGTACGACGTAAAGAGTACCTCCTCTCCACCGCCGACCGGATACTGAGTCGTCGTTGTGGGCATTACAAATAGCGACTTCGCCTTATCCAACGGCGGCCGCACCATCTTCCTGAACGGTCCTCCATGTTCACTAGAGGATGTATGATCATCCTGCGGCGAGGAAGCCCCTCGCGCGGAGGACGACCACCACCACGACCACCACCGTCGAGAACGAGTATTCGGTGCCACTGCAGGCATCGCCCTCGTCCTCGTCAGCGAGGGCCCAATCCCCGCGGACGCAGCATCGTCCTCAAGTAAGTCTTCCGATCCAACTGGGACGAGGAAATGCTGTTCGAGGAGTTGCTGGTAGGACTTTTGTTGCTGCTGCCGGTACTGGTACTGTAGCTGCTGCTGCTGCTGCTGGTGTGCAGACTGAAAGACCACCCAGTTTCGCCCCAGCGGCTGATGCTGTGTTCCACCACCGCAATAAGGCCAGGAGTGGCGTCGTCGATGATGCTCGCGATGATGATGAACCAGATATGGCATATCCACACTCCCACGCAGCTGCGATCAATGTCGGAATGACAGAACGCGATTCGTAACTCGAATATCCAGTGAATATTGGGACGTTTCTCAAGCCTGAGAAGCAGGAGAACGCAACAGCGGAAGACGGAG